AGAGAGAGAGAGCGAGAGAGAGAGGGAGGGAGAGAGGGAGAGCGAAGATGTACGAGCTGTTGTACCGCAAAACGGCTAGGAGCAAATTGCGTTGATCTGCATGGTCGCTTTGCTTTCCGCCTTGAGCCACACCAAAGACTCGTCGTCGGGCGCGCACGCCCACTGCGTCTCTGCTGCACTCCCCTCTCCTCCTCTCTGTTTCTTTCTCTCTGTCTCTCTCCACTTCTCTCACGCACGCACAAACACATTTTCAGCTCACGCCTTCCCCCCTAGCGCCCCATTTCGGGAGTCCTTCCTCAAACCAAGACTGACGCGACTGCACTGCTATGCCGTTATCACTTCCACGCGACTTGTCAATGCAATGATGCGTACGCGAGCACGTGTGTGTGTGGTGTGTGTGTGTGTGTGTCTATCTGTGTGTGTGTGTCTGTGTGTGGAGAGAGGGAGAGAGATGATGAACGGGGAGAGGGAGGTCCGCCCTGACGGGTCTGTTGTAGAGGAAAAGACATAACGGTGGTTATTGAAAAAGTGTGTCGAGCAAAAGAGAAAAGCGAGATAGACAGGCAGGAGACAGCTCGAGTCGCGAGGGCGGCCGACGGGGGCCGGGTGGAGGAGAGGGACCACGCGCTGATTGTCGCGGCGGGGTATAGTCATAGCGGTTTGGGGACGGCAGCTGACTTATGACCTTCTCCCTATGAACGCGTACACGCAGGGGTTGACAGTAGAAAGAGATGAGTAACCGAGATTAGTGGGCTGTCCCTAAGCGCTGCGTTGACATGTTAAAGCCGATAATTATTGCAAATAAATGTGTATGGGCCGCACACCCAGGAAAAGGTTGTGCGGATATTTTGTCTATACTATTCGCATATCACAAACTGTTCATGATGTTTGAAACTTCATTACGTAATAAAAATATATTTCGATAAACTTATTGTCCAATTTACTAAAGTCTGATTTCAATAAAAATTTTGAGTGTAAGAGCCACACCCAGAAAAACCGGTTCTTGTAACGAAAAATGTTCTTGTGAAATCAAGAACGCAGAGCGTTGTGCCAAGACAAATTAGCCTTGGTTTAATTCTTGATTCCACGAGAATATTTCTCGTCACATAAGAACCGGCTATTCTGGGCGTATGTACGGTACGACCTGTCGTTTTTGACAGATGCGGAGTGCGAGTATATGAAGTATTATAAGCTGCCGACTCTGTGGAACATGAAACTCGCAATCCCGTGATGCTTTATACACACATCTCC